CCGGGCGCGTGCGCTGCGGAAGCAGGGAAAGGTCCCCGCCTACGGAGGGAATCTGGGAGAGACCGCCGGGCTGGGCAGAAAGCCGCTTGTGAAAACCAGATTTTTCTAAAATTAATGTGCACATACTCTATCGTATCTAGCCGTACCATTCTCTGGCCTGCACAAAACTGGTGTTTCTATCTGGCAGTTACTTTCTGTCTATACAAATTATTGTCTTTAAAGACTTCTCTATAACCAAAGGTAAAAGGAGGGGCAGAGCAGAGGTGGCAACATTTGCACACACCGCAACGCACAAACTAGAAGTACAGAAACTGGTTAGCAGAATCTTGTCAGAAAGCTAAAAACAGTAACAGGAGTTAGACAAAATGCCAAAGTAAAATTAACCTGTGATACCGTACAACCTTTCAAAATCTGCTGTAAGCAACTAAAGAACTACTGTGAGAAAACCATTTCCTGAAAAACCCTCAAACACTGTCAAAACGCACACATACCAAGAATGGTGTGACTAGCACGCCTCAAAAATACAGGTGTGTGGCACACAGACACGGTGAACCAACCTGGCTGAGTCTGAAATTAACACAGAGGAGAAGGTCTTTTACTGTCATTAGAGGGATAAAAGGCGCCAATGATGGTTCGAAGTAGAAGTATCTGTGTGGTGACAGTGGGGTGGTGGAGGCACTGAAGCTGTCTGCTTTGCCTACGTGATTCCTTTGGGAATCCAGAGGAGAGTGAGTGTTACAGAGCACAAAGGAACAAAGAATCTGATATGTCAGTATGATGCCCAGAAACCCAAAACAGGATTAAATGGTCAAAGTCAGTGGTCCTGTACCCACACTGGTTTGAAGGAGAACAGAGAATCCTGCCTAGGTTAGTCGGGTGTACTGGCTTTGGGTGAAGCTCCGTTAAAACAACACTGCCCCTGTCCTACTCTTTGTTCAGACAACTTCTGCGTAAAGTGACAACACATCAGTGAGTAGTTATTTTGTTTTCCCATGATGAACAGGAACTGCCTAGGAGGAAACCACAGGCTTAAATTTCTGAGTTGACCACACTTTTCCGGTTTTTCGGTAGGCAACCTGCTCAATTTATTCCCTTCCAGTACTTTCCACGTGGAAGATTTCTCCTCTCTTAGAAGGCGGCAAGCATCAATCTCTTCTGTGTCCCTTGCTGGCTTCTGTCCCCTCTTCACTGATGATCTTCTGTCTGGGGTCTTGTGCTTTAACAGGAATGCTTAGCTGTGGTTTGATGATCTGCTTCCTACCGGCATTTCTATAGCAGACAGCTGATTGAGGCCTGAGGCTGTGTGTCATCAGATCTGAACTTGTTTGTTACTGAATTTGCCCAAATGCTTGGGAGTTCTCAGCCTTCCTCTCCCCCCACCCACTTTTTAGTTTAGCTTGCTTTATTTTTAGGCTGCTGTTGCTTGGTAAAATGCCACTGGGAGGGAGGGAGGAGGAGCATTTTAGGTTTTGTCTTTGTTTATCACCATCTAATTGGCAGCAGATTTGTCCCCAAGTTTAGTCTGTTTTGCCTGTGATGGTAGTTGGTAAGGGATCTCCCTGTCTTTATCTTGACCCACAAGCTTTTCATCTTGTTTCCCCCTCCCTCCCCCACCGTCCTTTTGAGGAGGAGTGGGAGAGGCTGGGTGGGTGTTTGGCAGCTGGCCAGCTGAGGTCAGCCCACCCTAGCAGCTTAAAAAGATGCCCCAGATTTTGAAGCAGCAGGATCTGAAATTCGCATCCCGTGCTACCTGTTCTCTGCTAATTCTGTGATTATTGGTACAGTGAGTTGTGTGAATGCTGTTTTGTTAAATGAAGGCAAGACAGGATGAGGACAATTCATTTGCCTGGGGCAGAGAAGTGGAGAGTAAGGCCTTTTAACAAATCAGGAAGAAATCTTTTTCTTCACCTAGCAGGTGATGTAAACTGCATGGACATAGCAGTATACTTACAAGTTCAGCAATTTTCATATGTGTCTTGAGAGATTTATTTCCAGTGCTTGACTTCTAATGATTCCACTGCTATCTTTCTGCAATGTAGGAAGAAGAATTTAAATGGCTTTTACAAGAAGAGGTCCATGCTGTTTTGAAACAGCTGCAGGATATTTTGAAGGTAATGTTAATTTACTTCATCTCTTTTTTGTGTTCTGGGAAATAAACCTTGTTAGAGGGTGCACGTTAAGGTCCTTAATGCATGTCCAGTTCTGCCCCGAGTGTTTGCTTGCCCTCTGGTCTCGAGGACTTAAAGCTGATTTCCTCTCGATTGCGCTGTTCTCGACCCTCCTTCCTGAGAGAGGGCTGCTTTGAAAATGCAGCTGGAGGCAGCCCAACCTGTCTGCCAGGCGCTTGCCTGAGATGTGACTGTTTCTGGAACAGAAGAATCTGGATCTGCCTGTAACTCTGTCATGTGATGGTGGAAATGAGTGTGATAGCCTTTAGCTGACAAGCCACTGCTTGTGTAATAATTGTTAGCTTGCACTCTCCTCGTTCAAACCCATCCTCTCCTCGGTGTACCCATTTCTTCGCCGGTACCTGCCCCTTTCAGAGGTGTGAAGTGTTCAGCTGAAGCAGGTCTGCAGCACCTTTCACCGGCCTGAGCGTGGGCTGCCGTGTTCGGCTCTTCCCGGGGAGCCAGGTGGGGAATTGACCAAAAGAGGTTGTGTGCACGAGAGTTCTCCGCTCTCCTGCTGGGTTGGTTTGCAGCAGGGCCAGCTCCTTCACGCTCCGAGGCTTAGTGAGTGGTGCAAGAGCAGGAGCAGTGCTGTGGAGGCGAGGGGTGGGTGCCAGAGGAGGTGGGAGTGCTGGAGTGCTGAACCAGGACGTGACTCAGGAGTGGGTGACAATCACTTGCAGCGTCTGTATATATAGTACCTGTTTTGAAGAGTTTGTTACAGTTTTAAGGGTGAAGTGCGATTAGAGGACAGTCACCAGCCCGTATAGCCAGGCTGTGCGGAGCGCCGCTCCTGCTCCCGACAGCTCAGCGACCGCGCTGGGTGCTGGCTGCCTCGCCTGGCGCCCAGGCATGGGGCTGGAGCGCAGGTTTTCCATCACCTTTCACCGTGAGCGGGATGGACTGAGCCTTTCTCGGGCTGTGCCTGTCCTGCAGGAGGATGAGGGAAAATGCGTGTGCTCTGCTGGGTGGGTTGTGGGAGGCCTGCAAAGGTGACCGTGCTGTGTTCCGCCGCTCGACGGCATCTGCGTTTCTGCTCTCGCCTTGTCTTTGTTCCTGGCTTGTGGTGGACACGCCAGCGTTCACGATGTCCTCTCTTGGGCAGGAGGCCGCACACCGGTTCGGCCTCCCCCCCCGCAGCGC